AAATAATTGCCATACCAGTCACCCCTTGACCTTTGGACTGGGATCAAAAAACACGAAATCTGAAATTACCCTGTCACAGATGAGGTTAATCCATATAAAGGGGCTCTGCGGGCAGAGGTGCATTTACGGGCTCCGATGAAAGCAGATGCTGCACAGGAAGGATGGAAGGACCAACCCGGGGCAGCGGCTGATCCCCGGCCCAGCCCCGAGCCCGCGCTCCGGGCCGCTAGCCCGGCACTCGCTAGGGCCCAACGCGCAGGGCCGGCCTGGGGGCAGAAGTGCAAACCCCCTACATTTACACCAGGCCCAGCAGACACGCAGGAAATATATATATATATATATATCTTTTTTCCCCTGATTTTCATCTATCTATGAGCTCAAAGCAGCATACGAGACTACAGGTCCTGTACGTGCAGACACGGCAACAGACAGAAAGATGGGCAGACGAGGAAACCCTCCCCGCCGTCAGGATGTAAACACGGTCCCCAGGGAAGGAAGGGAAGGAAAATTCAAAGCCTTCTCTTTTCATAACTCTGTAGGAGACTGTTCTTTCGGAATCACAAGCTGTAGGTTCCCTGTAACTTAAACTCGAGAATGGAGGGGACCACAGAGACACCAGGCAGAGCTGTAGTCCATGGTTTGCCAAGGGAAGATCACCCCATCAGCCAGAGGCTGCCACCACGCAAAGAGCTGTTCAGGGAGAAATAATAGCGGTACTGAATAGGAAGAAGAGGTGTCACTATCAAATGATTTGTTGAAGTAATTTACTTTATTAAAAATTGCTTTAAAGCAGATAAACCAGGCTTATGAAAAATCCTTCAAAGAAGCATGGAGTGAAAGGTAATTAATTAAGCCAGTGATCTTTGCTATGCTTTATCACTAACTGCCACCGCTTGCCACATGTGAACCGTCGACCTTAATCGCAAAACCTTGAATTATTCAGTTCTGCTAGACAGGTGACAGAGTGACACAAAATCCACTTATGATAATTTCTCCATGATGAAGCAAAGGATAATCACATACAAAATGTTTCTCCATCTTCAAAGACTTCTAAAAAAACCACCTTTATGGGACAAACTGAGCAAAAATATCTTGCCGCAGAGTGCTTGAGATGTCTTTTTTTTTTTTTTTTTTTAAAAGTACTCAATTAATAAATACTATTATCAGAGTTAACACTACATATACAGATGCCCCAAATGAAATCACAGTTCCGCTGTGCTGGGCTCCATAAACAAAGTGAATGCATTCTTGCCCCAACAAATCTATATATTTTGAACATTCAAAAAAAGATGTCAGTGACCCTGATATTTCTGGCAGATTTCTGGCCGATGGGTAAATAGCAATATTCTGACATCATAAGTAACAAAAAGGAGAAATGCAAACAACCAAGAAGAGCAGAGCAAAACAAAAACATTTCCTCAAGCAGAACTTCTTTATACCCTGAAAAGGAGAGAACTGGAGAGCCTGGAAGCTCTGCAGGGTCCAGGACAGAGACATCTCTCTGCCATAACCTCAGGGATTACGCGCTGTCAGCATCTCATGGTCTTTAATACACTTATTTCCTAGGAAACTCATCAAGAGAGAAAAAGTGATTTGTCTAAAATTCTGTGCAAAACTTATTATGGAAAACTTGAATCAACATCTACACTTTCTGTGTTGGCCTCAAAAATTATGAGAATATCGCTCCCCCGGGCTCCTCTCAGCAGCAAGTGGATCAGAGTTGCTTGGAAAACGAAAGGCATAACGTGATCCTAAGCAAGCACTGGCCTGAAATGGGCACAAATATTGTAATGTCATCAATGGCTCTCTTTGCCTGTCGCTTTGTTTTAAATACCATTTATTTTAACCAGAACCACCTGTGGGAAAACACCCAGGCCCTCGGTCTTGCCATAAGGGGCCAAGAGGAGCATCGTATCATTTGGCAATCAGAGAAGGAAGAAAGGATTTTTCCATTCTAAAAAGTTCAGTGAGCTACAGAAGGGCTCAGGGAAAGAAGAAGTTTTACAGCTGTGCCTTGTGCCTTCCAGATACAAGGCCACACCACTTGCTAATGTTGACTTAGCCTTAGAAAGATAATTATGACTACTGTGGCAGCTCAGACAATTAAGAGATAGTATGTTAGACACACAACGTAAAAAATAGGATATCATTAAGATACCAAAGGTTGAAAGGAAGCTCAGAAGTAAAGTATTGGTGAGGAAATAAAGCTCATGCCTGTTATCTCAACTGCACCTCAATACTTGAATAGAGTACTAGCACCACATAATTAAATAACCACAATAAACTTCTCTATTGCTATTACCAGCTAACTCCCAGGGAGGCACGCGTGGCTTGGCGAGGAGGGCTCCTAACCCCACCTCTGTTCACAAAACCCAGTGGGCGCCGCGCAGAGGACAGGGACGAGGTGAAATCTCCAGTTCACCGCAGAAATCTCGGAGCTGCTCCCTAACGAAACCCGCCTTGCAGCATGTTTTAAAGCCCAGCCTCTCGCTCCTGCAGTACTGCTGCTCTACTGGCTGCACTGCTGCCTTGGCACTATTTTGTTCCTGATGCCATAAACGTATCAGCCTGTGTATGGAAAGTATAGAGGGAATGGGAAGAAATGGGTAACTGTGTCGCCCATAGCGCGCATCACGGGTGAGCCAGGCAGAGCCTATGGGAGGGAGTTAGGCAGAGCCTATATAAAGGAGAGGGGCTATATATTTCATGCCCCTGCATGGGAGGTGCAACGTAGTTCTGCTGGGTTGGTTGTACAGGGCACAGAGATTTTCACTTTGTACAGTTATATACCACACTGATAAGAGAATGTCAGCTAATTACCATTCCACCACAAAATACAGATGGAAAAAAACTGAAATCAAGCAATATTCCTTGTTAAAGAAACTCTTACCATTTTTTCAACTACTTTCATAGCTAGATCTTAAGGCGAGCAGTAATCATTACAATGCCAATGCGCAAACGAAGCGCGCTCTGGTCTTATCTAAATTGCATTATAGTTCATTCACCTGTAACACCCTGGCTACAGCAAGAGCTGTGAAAGACACTGCAAAATCTGAACCTAAGTGTCATGAACCTCTGGAAGAGGCAGCAACCGAGGCCTTCTCACAGTAAACATAAGACAGAACATAATTCCAAGGGAAAAAAAAAAAAAAAAAAAAAAAAGAAACACTAGAAACACTCCTGTGCAGGAAAGAGTTTTTCTGTACATTGTTCCCATGGTCTCCTGGAAAAATCTAAGTAAACAGATAAATAAATATTAAGAGCAGTACCACCAGTCTCCACAAGTAGGTTAATGTCACTTTATGATTAATAATATTGAGGAGAGTTATAAACCTGACGAAAATACTTAATTTGTTGCTACAACATGGCCTTCATACTGCGTCTAGCAATACAGGCAGATGGAAAAAGAACAGTGAGAGCTTCAGCATCCCAGGGCTCTCCCTCCACAACAGGTTCCATTTATTTTTACCAAAAAGATGAGAATTCATTCAAAATAACGGGGAGACTTTACATCTGATTTTTTTTTTCTTGAAAGTATACTTCATCTAATAGATATCAGAATCAGCAACTTCCCAATAAATTACCTTTTAAAAATACAAACCAAATTGAACAGAAAGCTGAAGTCCAGGGACACATCTGTTCCAGTTCTGTGGCTTCCAGCTATCTGTGTAATTATCAGTATTTTCCTCCCCATAAGCCTCTTATTTCATCCCTGTTGTCTTGTGCATATGGACAGTCAGCTCACCAAAAATAGGCATTTTTGACATCAAAAAAAGCTCCTGCCACAGGCAAGCAGACTGCTATTACCACTTCCACTGTTTTGCAACACTCTCCCCTCCTGTCCTTAACTCACTGACCTTTCTACAACCACTGTCCTCATTTCTTACGTTTACTGCAACAAATCTCTCTTCCCCCATCACAGCACTCTCCTAGGGCTCCTTTACGATTTCTTCCACACCGTTTTCCACATTTTCTATACAAAAATATGTACATATATAGAGCAAAGGAATAGGCAAATTCACGTAACATAAAACGGGGCTGTAACACATTCTGCTCTGATTTTCTTTTGTCTGTTCCCTACTTTGGACAACAGCCACTGCAGAACAAATAAACCTCTGTGAGACAAACACACAGCCCTGAAGAAACAGACAGTTTTTCTGATGTCTGCATTCACAGTTTTATAGGTCTACAGAGACAGACAATTAAACTCTCAACACATACAATCCTCCTGAATGTACTGCTGAAGTATTGCGATCTCTACTGCAAAGCAATCAAGGGTTTCATTTCAAAACGAATACTTCACAGAAGAATGAAAATTGGATCTCTATCCAAGTCATAAAGGGAATCAAATGATCCTTTATTTTCTTTTCCAAATTGCAAATTTGCAGTCTTATCCCCAAACTGTTAAAAAATGCAGGAATAAGAACATCTGCTTGCCTAGGAAACCACCTGAGTAACTTTTTCCAGACTAACTTTTAACTACAACAACTTGCTATCAAACTGCCAAATATACAGTGCTCATTTCTTTCTGTGAATCCAGCTGTCATTTTCCCCCAAGCCTTCTCAGTACCAACTCCTTCAGTGCCAAAAACTTTTCACAGATATACATAATTTTGCAAAACACATATGCTCTAATGTATGACACATAAAGCCAATTAACAAGTTTACTTACTGAAGTAAAAGATGACACACTACAGCAAAACAAAACTCTTTTGGAGGCAGCAAACACATTAACCTTCTCTTCCCTCCTATGCAATACTCTCCCAAAGGATTTTAAGGGGTTTGGAAGTCAGTATAGATCCTGAATAGCCCGGATGATCTTTCACACTTATCTCTCCATGGCAGCTTTCTGCCTATCATCCCCGTGATGTTTCTGATCACTAGCAGACAGTGATAAACGTGAGACACATTCAGTTTGCAGGAGTCAACAGGCAGAGGACAGGCACCAGGAAAAATACGTTAAACAAAAAAAGAAAATAATACAAAATAAGAACACATACCTTTTAACTGATCAGCAACCACGCTCTGACCAACTCGTTCAATCACCTTTCCATCCTCCATTTCGTAACGGTCATCCAAATATTTTGCTGTAGCTTCTGAAATATGGACTTTTCCAGCCACCCCCAGCTGCTCCATTAGATTGGCCAAATTGACATCATTGGACCACACATCAAACTTGAATCTCCTCATTCCCAAAATGCCACACAAGACTGTGCCGGTATGAACACCGACTCTCATGTTCACCATTTCTTTCTTCTCTTGGCAAAACTGCTCAATAGCTTTTATCATACCCAAGCCCATCTCAATGCAGCAATAAGCGTGATCCGCCCGAGGCTCTGGGCAACCAGCTACGCAGTAGTAACAGTCTCCCAAAGTGCTTATCTTCTCGCACTTAGTGTCTTCACAGAGGCGGTCGAAACGGCCAAACAGATCGTTCAGAAGTCCCACCAGAGCATGGGCAGACTTGTTTGCACTCATTTTAGTGAAGCCAACGATATCTGCAAACAAAATGCTCACTTGTTCTATCTGCTGCATTTTAAAAGGACGGAATATTATGGGGGTTTTCTGAATAGAGGGCTTCTTCTTCCTGCTTTTGGGGCTTGAGGTGGAATGACGTTTGACAGAGTTTTCACTTTCATCATCCCCTTGTTTCATTAAGTCATCAGCTATTATTCTTGGCATAACAGAATGAATCATCCTCTCTTTCAGGGCTTTTTCCACTTCCAAGTCTTTACCATGCATGATTGATTGCCCCACTTTCAGGAATGTGCTTCTTGATCTGACTTCGGACATGATAAATAGATGAATACCGATCGCGTGGATGCAGATGTGGAGGAAGGCTTTGCTCAACAATTCCCAGTAAACTGCACCGGCGCCAAGAGGCGTAAAACAGTTCTCATCGCGGAAGTGATACCCGAAGGTCTCAAAGAGGACCGAGTAAGACAGTCCCAGAAACAAGCTTAAATACAAGGGTAAGTGCATCACTGTGTAAAGCAACAAGAGCACTTCAATACACATAGAAAAACTGCCTACTTGAGAAAGGCAAGTGTCCGAGGGATTTGCCGGGGCAGTCTGGTTGGACATGTCACCACTTCCTGAGATAGGCGTCAGAACCTGGAACTGCGGCGCAAGCGTCAAAGCAAACACCAGGAGGGTGAGCATCAGCGAAGTCCACACGTAATGGCGGGCGTAAGTCTTGGTGAAAGTGAACATAAAAAACACTACACATACCAAGAGGAAGCACAGAGCTGGCACCATGAAAATGATCAGTTTCTCTTTCATGTGGATGCCAAAGTAGATACCCCAGAGCAGACAGGCCACGCCGATGTAGAAGAGGGCATAGCGAAACCTGCGCTGGGTCTGCGGGAAGCACCGCTCCATACAAGCCTCTTCCAGGTTGTTGGAGTCGAACTTGGGGTTCCACCATTTGGAGGAGGCCCTCTCGAAGAGCTGCGGCAGCTTCTTCTGCCGGCGCAGG